TGAGCTTGAAGGACGCATCCATGCGGTTCGACAATGATTCATACAATTTGTTGATGAAGTCATCAGGAATAGCAAAAAAAGCGTCTTACATGCCTCCCAGAGTTCATCAAGATTCTTTTGGTTTTGCCTTCCGTGCTTCCTCTTTCATTCTACCCCAGACATGCTCAATGATGTTCATGTCTGGTGACTGGGCTGGCCAGTCCTGGAGCACCTTGATCCTTCTTCGCCTTGAGAAACTTTGATGTAGAGACAGAAGTATGCGATGGAGCACCATCCTGCTGCAAAATTTGACCCCTTTTATGGTTGGGAATGTAAGAGGTAGCTAATACTTCTTGATATTTTAGGTTATTGATATTTGCCTTCCACCCTGCAAATGTCTCGCACAGCCCCATACTGGATGGAACCCCAGACCATGATTTTTCCGCCACCAAACTTAACTGTTTTCTGGGTGAATCTTGGATCCATGCGGGCTCCAGTAGGTCTCCTGCAATATTTGCGGCGGCTGTGATGTAATTCAACCGAGGATTCATCTGAGAAATCCACCTTCTGCCACTTTTCCAGTGTCCATCCTTTTAGCAGGCTGTGGGCCTTGGCAAATGCCACACGGTTTTTTAATTGCCTTTTGTTTAGTGCTGGTTTCTGTGCACTGATTCGACCATGGAGGCCATTTCGAGACAGAATTCTACAAACTGTTGTGGTTGACACAGAGACTTGAGGTGACCAGGCCTGGTGGAGCTCTGCTGCAGTGGAAAAGGGGCTGGCCTTGGATTTTCGAATCAACAAACGGTCCTCCCGAGCAGTTGTCTTGCGGGGTCTGCCGGACCTGGGCTTGTCAAAAACATCTCCAGTCATTTCAGATCTTTTTCTTATTCTTTGTACTTGACACTGAGACACATTGAAGGTGTCAGCCACCTCAGCAGTGGATCTGGTCTTCAGCCTCTTGATAATTAACGCTTTGGTCTCAGGGTGGATCTTAGGCATGTTGTCAGAGGTCAAGTTGCAGTTGATGTGAAGGTCTGGTGTGCTGGGGTTCTTTTTATACACACCCACTAATTGATTGATCAGTAACTGATCACAGATGAGGCTGTAATCTAGGACTGGGTGCATCATATGACAAGGCGACAAGACTTTTGTCTTGCCAAAATCTGCCCTTTCTGTGTTCATTAAATGATCAATCTTTCTTCAGTGAAGCAAATTTATTTTAGTATATTGAGCATAATTTGGGAGGGTTTTAGCTTTCATATGAGACATTTCTAAAACCAATCGATTAATTTAAAGTCAGGTTATAAGCTTTTGTTTCTACAAAATGGATAAGCGACAAGACTTTTGTCAGGGACTGTATTTCCATTACAATCACTGTTTCCTGTAAGTGGCTGCTTGAGTCCCCACATAACTTGATAAACATGGACACACACACTCTTCTCATTCACAAACGTGGAGACACACATGATGCGACTAATACCTCGTTACCGCGGCAACCAAGCATCTCCGTCCGAAAACCTGGTCCGCCCCCGGGTCACGATCCACAGCCCACCAACCAGAGCCACACCAGCACCAAACCAGACATCACGACTGCAACTTCAGAGCACAACATTTTAGGAACAAGAGTCAGAGAAGAGAGAAAAGACGAGCTCTGGAGTCTGTACTATAAAACATGTAGCAGTGTTTCTCCTGTGGGGTATTTGTAATTGGCAAGACAAATAGTGAGGTGTATGGCTACAGAAAATATGATTAAATATAATAATGTTAAAGTTATACCACTCATCCTCTTGATATTAGGATACTAAAATGAGTACTTTCAAAATTTGTAAACATTTGAGCATGTATTCACAGAACAACAAATTTCCTGAATAGTATTAGAATTCTTTTGATCTATATAAGAACTAGTATAAGACCACGTGGTAATATTATATCCTTAATATTACAATCAATAGTTTTTGTGACATCTCTAAAATAAGATCATACATGTTTTGGAAGTGCGAAGTATTAATTCTGCTTGTACAGACCTGTCTTTAATGTCTGTATTTGCATAGTCCATACAGTGAACTCGGACTGCACAGGGTGAAGAGGCTGTTAACATAATTTATTCTCGCTCCACAAACCCGTGATAAGATCTGTTTGGGCTTTGTGCCTCCTGTGGACGCTGGTCTGGTCTCACTCACAGTTTATGTCTCACCCTCTGCATGAGTCTGGTCTGTTTGAGCTTTAACAACTCAATGCGAGATATAAGTTATTTATTATTATTTGTTTTATTTAAAACAAATTTATGATGTGTGTTTTGTATTGCTCAAGAAATATAGACAATAAACAATTATAATTAAGGAAAATTTTATGTTACACCCTTAAACTGGATTATCCCCCAAAAAATGTATATGTGAAAAATGTAATAAACAAATAAATAAATAAATTGCAGAATTAAGTTGAAATTGCTTTGTATAATGAGTCATAGAAGTTATTTAGTTAAACCTCTAGTCTGGTCCAATTGTGGTACAAAAATAACTACCCACAGTAAACACTGATCCCCAAATATTATTGTTCTACCTATTTATTGAACATGTTGGCCTCTTAAATATTGTAACATGTTTAATTGAGACAAGTTATAAAAGTTCAGAGAGAACCTGTATTTAGTGGCATAAAACAGAAGTCTTGCCTAGGCCTGTCATGACAATGATACTGGAATTATGTAGTTTGGTTATTTCTTGGCAATACAATAAGACTTAAAAGGTTGAATTAATAACTTCTATGACTCACTACAGATGCAAACTAAGTGCTTAAGTGTTTCATTCTGCTATTCATTTACTGCTCATGTTATTTATTTATTTATTTTTTAACAATATTGTAGATTTACAATAGTTTTTATGGTTTATTACTGCTCTTGGGCTTTTGTGGCAGTGGCATAAATTAGACATAATTAGTTTCAATATGGTCTTTTATAGTTTATGTTTACTTCATTATTATATCGCACTTCAAAAAGCCTATGCATGCCAAGTCTATAATGGCTTTGTTTGCTTAAAAACCTTTTTGATTTAAACTTATTGTGTTGTAATGTTTTTAAACTTTGAACTCAAAATATGAGTTAACAAAAGAATTTTATGACCTGTTGCCAAGTCTATATCATCATCTGTTACAAAGCTTTTTACCCACTGTGAACATTTCATATTGCTGTAATATGACTAGCCTTGTTAGTTGTCGGAAAAACACTTAGCATGTTGTTTACACAAAGGCAAATGGCTCTAAAGGGGCAAAGGTCTAATGCATTTTAATATGTCCATACTGCCACAGCTGCTGCAGGGCTTTTGTGAGCGATGACAAAACAGCCTTATGTTATTAAATACAGTCATTTAGCTAATTCAACTGCACTGTGCAAATCAGACAAAATGAGAACTGCTCCCTGCCCAATTATACAAATGGAAGCCATTACATTAAAATGACAGTGGGTAAGTGGATGGAGCAGCATAATGGGTCTCTGAGTGAACGGCACTCCCTTGTGTTGTTACAAGCTCCAAAGACAACAGTTCAATCTAGTTTCATATAAAGCACATTGTCTGGATTAAAGAGGATGGTACAGTTTAGTTTCAAGTTCATTCAAGCGAGTTAATGTTTACTAGGAATATGACAGTTGTGTACATGTCAAATTGTCGATATGTAAACATTTTAAAAATAAGATTTGGATTATTTTGCACCAGGAGGAAATGTCATATTGGAGAAGTGTGGAAAAATAAATACATATTGGCAAAGACAAACACAGATTTTTAAGTGTGACTGTTACTTGAATTGACTTTGGTACACACAAAGTAGAGAATACATTTTAACAAATGATCTCCCCCCTGGGTTTAGACTCAAAAGGAGGAGATGGGGACACTTCAGATTGGGGTAGAGTAGGTCTGTAACACAAGATGATAAAGGGGAAATGGAGAGCATTAATATGAAGGGGTTGAGATGGGAGAGGGGGTTTACTGGTCATAACGTGGGCTGCAAGAAGTATCAGGGCTAAGAAATTAAGTATTCCTGGTTGAATATCCACCCACCTCTTATTATTATACAAATATTACAAATATATTTTACATAATTAATTAACAAATTAACAAATCACTCCTGTCTTGAATCAACACCACCTTATGTGCAATGTTAATGATAGATAATTACCCATTGTTCACAATGCAGATATTACTGACCCTCAATGCTTTTCAACAAAGGAAGAGCTCTGACAATAAAGTTTGTACATGTTGAAGTCTGACAACTCAATGGTGCTCTAACCATGGAGATATGAGACCGAGCCAAAACAAGATGAAAATAGTGGTTGGATATTTTGAGTTAATCTTTCTGTTTAACAAAACCAAATAAAGAAGGTAGGAGGGGTATTTATAGAGTAATCTCACCTGCTGCTAACTTGGCTTAGTCATAAAGCAAAGTGTAAAATGTTTTCTACGCCAAAAATTATTGGAGCAACAGCAGCCCAAGGCACAACATGCTAGTGATTATTTGATTGCTGTTGAAGAAGTGATTTATTTAATATGATTTCAGTATTTGGCTGCTCCACAGTGTCACCGCAGTAGAAGTGTTCCATGGTGATTTATTTAACAGTTTTTTTATGCCAGATGCCCTGACGACCAACGACCTTCACTCAACTGCCACTTTGAAGAATTAAACTTTTACTCTTGGCATTACACTGAGTAAATCTAGGCCACTAATTAAATTTTAATAAAAAGGCAAATTTGTTTTACTTTCTCTTAGTGCCTAAAGCAGAGGATGGGGACCAAAACACTCTGGCTCTGCTTATGGCCCCTTACAAAATTCGTAATAGATCTCTCAAATCTCAGTAAGTGTTATGTGAAATTGGTTGCTTAAGTAAAGTGCAAGAAACAGTAGGTTTTTCAGTTGTTTTTCAAATTCATTGTAAACTTGTCTCAAACCTGGCCTCTCCAAACCGCAGGGTTTTGATTCGTTTACAGATTGAAAATGTATTTCTTACATGTTTTGTTTTTGTGTTTGCTTTTCAGAATTAAGCATGAAAACATTGTGGCACTGGAGGACATCTATGAGAGCCCTGACCACCTCTATCTCATCATGCAGCTGTGAGTACAACTTCTGCCCCATTCATGGGCTTCAGCATCCTGTTACATGGCGACATTTTGAGGACTTTTGACTGCTGAATAGGCCTCAAATTGCTCCGACAATAATGCAGATTTTTCATCACTCTGGAACCCATTGATACCAAAATGTATTATTTTAACTTTTATTTTTAGTTCTGCAGTTTCTATACATTTTCTTTACTTAGTCGAATACTGTTAATTTAATCAAGACTAATACCAAATAGTCCACAATGCTCAATTTACAACCAACATTCTTTGCTATCACAGTCTATCAGGTTTTAATTGTTCTCACAAATTAAGGGCAGAAATTGCAGTAAGAATGAAGTGCAATGGCCTTGTACTCTATCTGGACAATGCAGCTTGATTTGAATTCTAGAGAAGGTTTCACATTCACTCCATCAATTATGTAAGAACAAAACTTGAATATTTATTGTCCCATATTTATCACAGAAACCCCTTATACCTGATAATTAATGTCATTTAGTGGCCCACTCACACATCTCATCACACTTTCATTCCTGTGATAAGAACACCCCCATCCCATCCTTCTCTCCCCTCTCTTTGTCTCGGTCTGTCTGTCTGTCTCTCTCTGTCTCTCTTTCTCTTTCTCTCTTTGTGTCTGTCTATCCCTGTCTGTCTCTCTGTCTCTGCCTCTTCTGTCTGTCTGTCTCTCTCTCTCTCTCTCTCTCTCTGTATATGTTTCTCTCTGTCTGTCTCTCTTTCTCTCTCTCTCTTTATGTCTGTCTTTCTCTTTCTCTGTCTCTGCTGTCTCTCTCTCTCTCTCTCTCTCTATCTCTCTATATCTCTCTCTGTCTCTCTGTGTCTGTCTCTCTTTGTGTCCCCCCCTCGCTCTCTATCTCTCTGTCTTCTAGACTCTTCTGATTACGCAGATTCCTCAGGTTGAGTTTCCTTGAGTCCCACTGACCTCCTGCAGTTACCAGGTCTTACATAATACTTTGTTTGGGTTTGGATCGCATCCTGAGATTACATAATATGACTCTATTTACTTGATGACCACAGATTATTTGATGACTAGAATACAACAGGTTCCAATAATATTGCACAAGGACCGAGTTCAGCAGCTTTCATGTTAGTGGCCAAATGCTCTGCCAGTGAAATGCTGACACTTGATGAGTTTCTTTTACCATTTTTCCCCCCCTGTTTGTTCTGATATGTTCTGAGTGAACAGACGACATGCAATAATATCCTATATTTTTGGTTAGTACTTAGTGGATCAAGAGGGGTCTTTTCACAACACTAAGGTACAACCACTCAGTATACAGAGTAAAGTTGGAGTAAAAAATTACCAATGTTTCGTTCTGGCTGTATGTTTAAAAAGAGGGATGACCTGTTCTTCCATTGCCACCTAAAATCCCTTTAAATCAATTAGGCTTAAATGAAATAATCTGTGTGTCGCACCACAAACAAGTGACAATCTCAACATGGAACCAGACCAATTCTTTAAAGGAGAAGTCAAAAAGTTAAATCCACCTTTTCAGTATCTGGGTTTAGTCTGGCCAAAAGTAAGATTATAGTGCGATGAATGTCATTATCTTTCTTTAATGCTTCCACCAGATCTCATGGTTATAGATTATGGCTACGGCTATAGTTTTATATTAGATCTGAAATCAAATAAAGAAATTTCTTAAGTGCCCTGTTATTATAGATGATGACTTTAAAATGTCAGTATGTGGTCCCCTGTCGGCAGATCGGCATAATAGTATCTATATGAGAATGTCACTCTGATCTTTTCACCTGCAGTGTGAAAAGAGTCCCCGGCACCTTAACCAGTCAAGACGCACACTTTTCCTATGATATATAAAGAGTTTTTGACCAAACATTATCAGAGTATTAAAAAAAAAAAAAAAAAAAAAAAAAACATGCTAAGTAATGAGTAAAAAAAAGAGAGAAAGAAAGAGTGGTGCAGACTTGAAGAGGCACTGAATACACAGATGTAAAAGAGGAGGACTATTTTGTTCAGATAGATATGGATATTCCAGGGGGGAAAAAAATCACATTTGTGAGACTAAAACAAAATAAACAACTGTGATTGGATTGCCACTATAATAAAGCTCTTATACTTCTTCCCATTACTGGATGTGAGACTACTTGTATTGAATATGAAGAATTTTAAAAAGTGCTATTTTACACCTTGTTGAAATTGAATGGAGAATTTCCAGGAAGAATGAAACACTGTGAGGTGTGTGTGGATCCAGGTGATGGGAGCTACTTCAAAACAAACACAGAGTTAGGACTGGACTTGTCCCAGCTCAAAAACACACCAGGTTCTGTGAAGATCCATGAGAGGAGTATTTTTTTTTTTTTTTTTTGGAGCTGGAAACAAAGCTGAAAAATCAAATTCAATCTTATCAGAAATGAAATCAGGGCAAACATAACATTGAAAACACTATAAAAACATATATTTACTTTAACAAACTTTATTGATTTACAAGGGGAATTACTAGGACACAGTAGAGCAAAAACAGACTTACATTCCCACCATTAAATGTTATTTTTAAATCTTGCAGGCAATAAACAAAGAGAATTTTAAAACAGCACTGACCCCATTGACTACCACTGGTGGAGGCCTCCCAGCAGATGCACTGACTGCAGCATTGCAAGCTTTTGATATGACTCAACTCACCACAGTGTTTTGATTTTTGTGCATAACAGCAACTCTCCATCTCTTCATTCATTCAAACATGTACCAGCAAGGATTTCATCTTCATTCATAACTCAACTATAATATGACATCATGTATTGCCACACAAAGCTGTTTTACTCAAAGCTTTTATGTGTTTTTGTTGCGCTCTAATTGTTTTTAATTTGTGCTTTGCTGCTACGTGCTCAGACCAGTAATGAGAGGAAAGGCTTCAGAAAGATACCCAATGTTAAAATATAAACGAGGATAGAGAATAAAAGGGTTCAGACTTGCTTTCATTTGGCTATTCGCTGCAGGCTATTTCTCTTATATTTCATATCAAAAAAGGCTTCAAGTATCAAGAAGGACTTCAAGAATCACTAATCACTCCCAAATTACAATCTCTGTTCAGTTAGATATTAAAGTAATAATTGTTAGGGAATAGTCTTTATACTCTAACAATTTATAATAAAGCAGGCAGACCACATAATGTAAATTTCTTAAATGTACTTAAGATTTCTCATGGACGAACTGCCACCTGCTTAGAATGTTACATATTGTGGCATTAAACTTATCTATCTCCAAGGAGACAAGCAGGGGATGTCATCAGGCCATTTTACAGGTTAGATCAGTGGAGAGGGGACTTCATTCATGATAAGAATGCACAAGGCTTAATTTCTTCTCAAGAAAGCCATTCTGTGGAACATTCTGGGAAAAGCTGCTCTCCATGGAGACAAGCAGGACCCCTTGATTTTAGAACCTAAATCTCAAATCTCATTACTAATTATCAAGCATCTTTGGCCATCAACCCATTGGAAACATCAGAGTGCTAAATGACATATAATGGCACCACTTTATATCACTCATTTGGTGTGATTGAAAGCGAGTTTTGTCCAATTAATGTCGGCCTGGTGAATATTTAACGAGTGATTACAAAGTGGCAAATCAATGAGGCTTGCCAATATCTGCGGGTTCATCACAGTTCAACTTATGTAAGCTCAGAAAGAGGAGAGAGGGAGGGAGAGGGGAGTGAAAGAGGGGGGTTAGAGAGGGTGAGAGAGTGAGGGGGAGAGGATGCTAGAGAGCTAGAGATAGGGGGAGAGAGTGAAAGAGGGAGATGGGAGAGAAAAAGAGTAGGCAAAGAGGGAGAGAGGGGACTGATAGAATATGGAAAGCAGGAGAGGGAAAAATGGAAAGGGGGAGTGAACGAATGAGGGGGAGAGAAGAGAGAGAGAAAGAGTGGTGGGAGAGGTAAAGAGGTAGAGAGAGTGGGAGAATGGGAAAGAGAATGAGTAGGAAGAAAATTGAGAAATAGATGGGAAGATAGAGAGAGGGTGAGAGAAAGAGGGAGAAAGAGAGAGAGAGAAACAGACTCAATCACATGCAACCCAGTGTAATGTGGGCGCTGCCAGTTGTGAATTCATGCGCATTGGAAGCAGTTGCATTTGGATGCTCAATTTGATCAACACCAGGACAGCTAGCAGGCACAAATCTTTCAGCAAATGTGAAAAAAGAAAAAAAGAGATAGTGATGTTTGTTCATGATGAGGATGGACAAGATGAGAGAGCAGTCATTTATTTGAAGAGGTAATTTTAGATTGTCTGGAGATAAAGTTTTTATAATTTGGAAATGAATAAAGTGGGGATAGTGAAGAGAGAAGAATGCTTCAATAAAGACACCAAAATAACAAGAGGTTACTTAAATTTGTTGCATAATTTGTACTTTGTTTTAAGACTTTAAGATCTTCTGGGATTGTAGCATTCAGAAAAGTACACATTTTTATAAAACTCCCTAAAGCCCCTGTATATTTTACCCCTTAAGCTCTAAAAGTAATTCATCTTTACTGTAATTATTTTCAAAAACACTTTTTCAAGCCATTTTTATATGTTTATGTTATGTTAGCACTTCACAATAAAATTTGATTATAGAGCCATACAAATGTTACGGACTGTCAGATAGGCTGAGAGTAAATAAGTTCTATAGGTTATAACTGTGAATGTAAATACTATTTGTTAGAACATGCTCCCATTAGTAATAACAGTAGTAATTATATTCATTGTGACATTCATACTGTATTGATTTTGTGAACAGTTCATCCATCCTCTCACAAACTCACCACAGAGAGCTGTCAGGTCATGATGCACTGCCTGATCTGCTCTAGGATGGATGGATTCTGGGTAGCTGTAGGCGTGAGGAGGAGACAGGAGCAGAGCAAAGATGGAGAGGAGGGCAGCAGCCGTATCTGTCCAAGCCAAAATGCTGATGCAACAAAACTATTCCTACAGACCAGGGGCTGTTGACAGAGTGAGTGTAGGGTTGGATGGGTTATCGCAATAAGAAGCTGTTTGTTTGGAAGAGGGGTGCAGATGACACAGTTATCTATTTAATGTATTACAAGGCATGCAAAAATCAAAGTGGAAGTCAAATGAATGCAGCTGGAGGTCAAACATATTAGAATTACATAGATATCACAGGATAACTACAGTTTTAGAAGCACCATTATCCCATGAAAAGATTGTGCTAGATTTAAAATTGAGGTGGGGCAGCTCAGAAATCAAAAACATATTTTTGATTAATGCAGACCTATTATGCAAAACACATTTTTTAAAGCTTTTAACCATGTTATAGGCGTTTCCCTTCACCATTTACTCACCTGAAGTTGTATTTGGAGTGATTCGTGTATGTTGACGCAATCTTTTATCGCTTATTTTCAAGACGCAATATTCATATTCATTTTCATTAATCCCCATTTTCACCGCCACTGCCATAATCCACCTGCTCTGTACTCTGTTCTCCATTATCATTTTCTTAATCGGTGATACATGTAGGATTCAGCAGCGGCACATAGTCATTTTGGCACAAATGAAAAAAAAAAACCTATCCATTGGAGGAGCTGACTCTTTGTTGTGGTAACATTTATGGCACCACTGGGCATGGCAGTTTTCTAATGCAAAAGTCAACTGACTTGTTTCTTTAATTAAGTCCTTTTAGATGAACATTGCGATTTAAAATGTACAAATTATAGCCTAATGATCCAACGGTGCTGTGGATTGAAACTATATAACTGACACAATCATAATAGGGCTCCTTTAATAGCCATAGTGGAGATATGTCTGTATGTACTGGGCCTCCTATAATGAAACAAACCCTGGCATATTCCGTTGGCACAAGGTAAAAAATCTGTCATTATGCATTTATACTGCACTAACATGTTCAGGTTTTTAGATCAAATCCCTTACAATACATGATAAAAGGTTTTTTTCAAAAACAGTTAAGCTCCCATAGTTTGTATTCATCTTTCATAATGTGCTTTTGGTACTCCACCCTTTTCTGTACTTGTTTCCACAATGTCACTGGCAACTGTCCCTCTTCTCTCTGCTCCTCTGACCTAATTTAAAATGGTTCTTTAAGCTAGTTTTCCTGTAATTGTATACTTGACTACAGCAGCTCTCCTCCTCTCTGTCTGACCTTTTCCAGTGGTCCCAGGACATCGCTGCTCTCTTTGTACAGTCTCAGAGAGGATTAGCAGTTTATTCTGATCTTTCTTTTCTCCACAAACTTCATTAGAGTCCAACTTCCTCAAGATGTAATACAATCTGTCACTATGGCAATGGACTCCTCTGCCTCTCAGACACTGCCCTATGGATTAAACACTTCTTTAGTAGTGTACTATCTCTTCTACTACTACTACTACTACTACTACTACTAATACTGCTGCTGCTACTATTGCTACTACTACTCCTACTGCTACTGCTATTGTTTATGCTTCTGCTTCTTCTACTCCTACTGCTACTGCTATTACAACTACTACTACTAGTACTACTAGTACTACTACTACTACTTACTACTGTTACTACTACTGCTACCACTACTACTACTATTACAACTACTACTACTACTGCTACTACTATTGCTACCACTACAACTACTACTACTACTGCTACTACTACTGCTGCCACTACTACTACTATTACTACTGCTTCTACTACTGCTACCACTACAACAACTACTACTACTACTGCTAAAACAAATTCTTATTATCCATGCAACATTTGAAAGCAACAAACATTTCTTTCTAACTTTTTTAGCATCTCAAAATGCAATTATTATTGTTAAAAAAAATTAGCCAACAGCTGACATGAATTCCTCTGTTGTGACTTGCTAAAATTGTGCAGTAAATTCCCACTAGAGGGAGCTATTTGCATATGCATTTTATAATGACCAAATGTGCAATTTAATGTGCAAAAGCAAGTCACCTCATGCTGCTTCCCTTCAGTATAAAATATCAATTGAAAGAATCTGCCAAAGGTTCTTCCCTTTGGCAGATGACACATGATACATTTTTTCAGCCAAATCCAATTTATTCACAGGTGTATTTTGATTCATATTGACCTTATTCCCTCAGAAGAGAAACTTTTAATAAGAATTTGATTGAGGTGTTGCTTTAAGGTGTAGGCTCATGTTGTGGAACAGGTGTGGACAAGATTCTGAATTCTGTATTGAAGAGAGCTGTCCATTGATGAGATGTTTTACTCCTAAAACAAAGCAGCCTTAAAAGTTACATTTGAAGAGTTAGCTTGAAAGTTCACAAAACAATCAGGGAATACAACTATTACTGCTTCACACCTTGTCTAGTACTAGTGTTGTACATTTACCCATTATAATTACCACCACAACTACTGTAGTGATTATTGCAAAATTATCAAAAATAAATGTTCACTTCTGCACCATTCTCTATCGTATAATTAATCATTCACATTCTACTATGACTTTAGTGTATTAATATTTAAATCTGTCCTATGCAACTTTTCTGGTGAAACATCTGCCTCCTGTTTGTTTCCATAGACATGTTAATGTTCTGCCTGGAAATTTTCTTAACTTACATTTATTTAATTATATATTTATTACGCAGACATACATACTTCAGCTTACTTTAACTTAAATACAGACTACTTTCTTTTTGAAAAATGTGAAGAGGAAAGCACATTTTCTCTCAGCTACTGTGACGCTTCACCCAATCAGCTTCAAATATTTGTCCTGAATGGGTCAATTCGTCATTTTATGTACAGTATTGTTATAAAAGCAAAAGCTAAATTGATAGACTGAACTACAAGTGTTCTCTTTACTTACATCCTTAATTATTTATTCACTAGAGGTGCTGCTTGTCTGTTTGAAACAATTGGGTCATGTGGGATTTTTTTCACCTTTTTATGTCTGCCTGGAAGCATAGGTCAAAGGTGAAGCGCTGGTGCAAGCTGTACTCAGAGTCTGTAACATTTGCCGCTCGGTTTGGTCCACATTTCTGCAATCTGCTTTAGATGCTGCAGGCTACAAGGCTGTTCAGTGTGTGTGTGTTTCTGTGAGCGTGTGTGTGTGTTGCGTGTGTACAGCTTGACTCATGTACAGCTCATAAATTATCAGAAACATTGACCCCATGGCCCTCTCCAGGCTGTTACTGCTCAGTGCCAGGTGTAATGTGAAAAAACACAGTTTGAAAGCACTTTGAATGATGCTGTTGTTTTGTCTGATTTGTTTTGCAGTGTATCTGGAGGTGAGCTCTTCGACCGAATTGTGGAGAAAGGGTTTTACACAGAGAAAGATGCCAGTACTCTGATCAGACAAGTACTGGACGCAGTCAACTACCTGCACAGAATGGGAATTGTACACAGAGACCTCAAGGTATAACACTTAACTGTCTACATTCAGTGGTTCCCAACCTTTTTTGTCTCATGTTGTCTCACACTTTTGAGTACCCCTTTATCGTCTAACAGTGTTTTTATTTATTTATTTTTTTTCTACTATATCCAAGAGAGATCAGAACTGAAGTAGCCACTTGGATGAGTGGGGAAACATCTTCAGTATAAAACTTTTGTCCAATAGATATTTTTCTCTTGCAATGGATCATACCTGGACAACAGAGGAGGTTAAACAGATGTCATAGCTCTCAGCTAAACCGCTTTCGACAAAGCCAACTAGGGCTGCTTGATTTTGAAATAAAATTGTATCATGATTATTTTGGTCAATATTGAAATCACAATTATTCATGATGCATTTATTCAGCATTTATCTCTCTCTCAAAAAAAAAACTAAAAAAAAACTTTGTTATTGATAATTTACATAAAACTTTCAAACTGAAAATAAATATAGGCTACAAATATGTACCTTAGAGCAGTTTTGCTATATATAAAACATAAAATTAATAAAATATACTTATAAAAATATAATACATTGAACATGAAATAAGGTATAGAAAAACATCAATGTATCCAAAATAAGCTATATATTCAGCTGTTCTACAATCTCTATATTTAAAAAATAAAATAAATATATCGGTACTTATTTATATAAAAATATCCCTAAATAAACTTTGTTAAGCTTTAAATCGTTTCAACTTTTTATATGAGTTTGGAGATCGTTTGACACACAAATCGAAATTGCGATAAAAATTCACTTAATTGCACAGCCTTAAAGCCAACAGTGGTTCCTATGAGGATTTGCATAAAAAACAATGAGTAGAGTTATTTACCTTTGTCTTTGCTATATAATTCCATATATCTTACTTCATATATTTGATGTCTAGTATATGTATTTAAACTGTAGAAAGTAGTAAAAAATAAATTTAAAAAAGGATTGAGATGGTGTGTCCAAACTTTGGACTGGTAGTGTATTTCTCTGGTCTCAGGTTCATTTTAGAATATAACTGATGAAGGACAGAAAATGTTTGAATGTACAGTAGTATTTTGGTTTGCATCAATGGGAGGCAGGTCCCCCACTGCCCTGTATACTGTTTCCTGGCATTCATTCTGTGCTGACAGCCTGTGATCTACCACCTCAATAAAGCCCCTGCTCCTCACTCATAGTGCACTGGGGGTCAATGTAGCATGTGGCAGATGTTTGGAGCAATCTCATTGGTCAGAACTGCCTCCTCTGTGTTTAGCGATGACAGGATTCTGGTCTAATATATCCTGGAAAAGTCCTATATATATACCTCTGGCAGTCAAGGACATGGGTGAATGTTCATGTGTGTTCAACATGAAGGCTGTAAATGTGGTGATTTAGAGAGCTTTGAGATTAAGTGTTATGGCTTGCAGCTTAATGAGGCTGTTACAAAGTGTGACCTCATACCATATAGGCCACTGTCAACCATTTCAATATGTCACAAAAATCCAAGGGTTTAAAATCTATTGTTATCATGCCATTTTAGATCATTCTTTATGTTTATGGTTTAAGACAGGTTTTAAATGTTTGTACTGAACCGAAAAAGTGGTTTAGACCTCACCACAATATCTGACCTGTAAGTGTCTCTGAAGAGATGGATAAGTTCAGTGCCATATAATGTACCAGAAACCTTTCCATAGAGACAAGTAGGTAGCATGCACTCCACCATAAAAGTTACGCAATGCATCTTTAACAATCTGCTTATAAGCACCTGGTATACTGATATAATACAACTAGTACATGTTTCTATTTTCACAGCCAGAGAACCTGCTGTATTTCAACCCTCAGGATGAGTCTAAGATCATGATCAGTGACTTTGGTCTGTCCAAGATGGAGGGCAGTGGAGACGTCATGTCCACCGCCTGTGGGACCCCCGGGTATGTGGGTGAGTGAGAGCCTTTTATTAATATGTAAAAAATATAATCGGTGGCTTGGAACCCTTTGTCATTCAGGGCAAGATGGATATGGATTTGCTGCATTCCCTTTAGTAATTTGATGAAAATAAAACTAAATGTATACTGTGCAGGGCAAAAATGATAGCCATACATTCTGTGCTGGCAACGATTCGATCGAGGATTTAAAGCCAGAACAAAGAAAATGTTTGGTGAATTTTATCAAGGGGAAAGACGTTATTGCCCTTCTCCCTACGGGATTTGGGAAAAGCTTAAGCCCTGTTAGCAGCGCATTACATATGTCAGGACAAAATAGCAGCGATTGGTTAAATAAAAAAAAGTACCCGCCTACTGTCAAGTGAATTAATGTTGCAAGGTCAGGCGGTTTCCACAAAGTGAAACCAACTGATGAATCAGACCAGTCGAGATATGGAGACAGACTAATAATAAAGGATTACTCAAACACATGTGAATGAAATACAACACAACTCCATGAAATATGTTTATGAGGTTCCAAGATTACATTTTGCATAATATAGGCTCTTTAACTCACTGCATCAGTATTTCATTTTTAGACATTACTTATATACTAAGGATCTACATGGATATGGCACTTTACATAGCAAACATTTAAATATATTTGCCAGTTAATTAATGCCAGTCCAATTAATAATTTAAATGTTCTCTCATTGCAATCCTCATTCACAGAGCAGCCCTTCATTGAGTTCTGTTTGACACTTGTGTGCTACACCCTTTACCACTTGACATTACATGCCAGAATCCGTCTAATTTAAATGTAAATCAAATTGAGTTTCTGACTTGGGGCTCTAATCCCAGAAAAAACACATGGGAATTCAAATGAGCGCTTTTCTCTGCATTGGACACAGTTTTGGTTCGATGTGATCTGCCTTATCAGTGGCTTACAGCTGCTGCAGAGCTGTTTATTCATACATGACTGGCATATTGAGTTTAGCTGACCTAGAAATCATAGTAAAATACTGGAGTTTTATTTTTGACATTTCACATTTTAAAGGTCTTGGTCTGCTTGTTGTAGAAGCAGAAGAGATACAGGTCAGGACACTTAGGTCAGACTGTAAATTGGGGCAGCTGTAACTCAGTTTATAGAAAACATTTTCCGTCTAACCCGATCTTCAGAAGTTCATTATGTCCAAGGATGCAACACTGCACCCTACTTTGCCTGACTGATGATGTTGTCAGTTTAATCATATTATTGGTGATGGTTGGAGGGGCTCTTAGCACAGCTCTTAGCACAGCTTTTTGTTCCAAGTGTTGGGAATTCAGGAAGTAAAATCATAATAGTCTGTGCATAACAGCGTCTGCCAAGCACTCACAAACTTTAGTTTTCTACATATAAAAATAATTGTGTTGTCATTATTTTTTAATTTGTTACAACTTTGTATTTGTTCATTAATATTTCAAGCAGTCACATATTTGGAGATTAAATACTTACCATATCCTTATGGCATGAATGTTTGCAAATGTAGACACAGACACATTTTTATTCATGTGTTAAACTCCAGTGACTTGATTACAAAAGTGGGGTGGGACTGGCCTGCATAGTTATTTTTAAGTCAAATGTCCTCACTTCTTTGTTACATATATCAATATAATAAAATTACTTGAGTTTACAAACCAATATAATATGTTATATTATAATCTGTTGAGTTTGTCCAAAGCCTGTATCATTTTAAATCAACCTGTGAGTCAGTAAAGGTCCAATCCAAAAAGCCAATCATTACATTACTATACAATAATATTAGCATTATTATATGTCCTGGACTATTGAAGCTGTAGTTGTATTACACCCAGATGTTAAACCCTGACAGAGTAGTTGTATCTGACATACCCATAAACAAACCCCTGTGTAAAGACAAATAAATGCATGACAGATCATATTTAACAGCAGAGGTTTTAGTACTGGTTTAATGGGTGAACTGACTCACAACTTAACCACGTCGTGTATGATCCAACAGCATCACTGCAGCCAGACTAAGACTAAAAATGGTCAGAAATTTCACTGTTTACCTTTGTCTCCTGCTGTGGCTCCTCCTGTGGAGATGTTGGTAACCACAGGGCATTTTTGCACCTCAAACGTGACTCTAAAGATATCCACAAAAAGTCTTGCAATCAAAGACTCGTCAAACTGATTCACAGCAGGAAAGTATTTTGTTTGTGATGTTACTAAATCCACTACTCACAGGATACGCCTGCTATTTATTGCAGTATTATGGGAAGACTGCTCGAGAACTGTAGAATGTAATAACCCAAATACCCAACCGAGCATCTGCTTCTTGCGTTACTGTTTAATGTCTAGAGGTGTTTCATAACAACAGTTTTATGGAGCAGAGGATCATGATGATATATGGTAACATATCATTGTCAAAATATATGGGTTTTTAAATTAAAAAAAAGTGACTGAAATGTGAATTTAAATAAATCATATAATACAAACAATAAATAAATAAATAAACACTGTTAAAGACCTAAACAAAGATTAAACCATCACTTTGTATGGCTGGTAGTTAATTAATTCTTTAACTATTAGATTTATATAACACTTTTCAAGATACCTTAAGTGCTTTACAGAGCATTATTCATTCAATTCACACCCGGTGGTGGTAAGGTACTATTGTAGCTACAAATGCTTTGCGGCAGACTGACGTAAGCAAGACTACCAATCTGCACCATCAACCCCTCCGACCACCACCAACACTCTCACACGCCCACATTCTTACTTGTCAATGTGAGTGAAGTGTCTTGCCTAAAGACACACTGACGCCTAATGGGGCATCTGGAATTCCCAGAGGTCTCCAATCCAAGAATTAACCAGGCCCAGCCCTGTTTGGGTTCTGAGATATGACGAGATCAGGCTTTGACAAACCAGTATGACCTTAAGTAGCGTAGTGACAATGTTGTGAACAATGGCCGTCATTCTTATGTATGTCTGTATTAATGTCTTGGAGAGAGACAGAGGCAAAGCGGATCTGACTTCCCTGTCCGCTCTCATTTTGCTTTGTCCAGTCTCAATAATGAGCTGCACAGGAAGGTCAAGTCAGGCCATCTCTACACACAAAAATATAATTTAAAAAAAGGAAAAAACACCAGCTTATGAGATTTTTACAAGGTGGTCCCGGGTTTGATTCCTTCACTGTATCTTGGTGGGGATGACTATAGTTGCACCCATCAACCTAAAATGTGCACATTTTGCTACAATATCCAATTGTACTTTGAGAGGAACAACAATTCCTCTGATATATGAAAAGCTTTATCAAATCTTAAATTTCAGTTATAGGTAAAGTGACATAAGGAGACAAATGGATAAAATGGACTTAATCTTTTCAAGTTTGAATTAAAATTAGTTGACAGTTATTCTTGTCCCTCAATTAAATTGTGACCTGAATATTAAGATTCATCTAATGATGTTGACACCCTCAATTTTGGCAAACTGGAAAAGCATTCAAGCTCTGCACTGCGGTTACCCACTCTTACTGACAGCCCAGTGGCATCCAACAATGGGTCAAATGCAGTTTTTTTTTTTTTGATAGAATAAATTATAATGTAGTGTGTAAAATTAAACCTCAGACCAATCTGCATTTTCAGTAGTTCTTTGGTCTTCTCAGGTTTTACAATGTGAGGGGGAATTCTCACCTGCATCAGATTATTTGTTATTAGTCAAATAAAGAGGAGTCACTGTGCAGAAATGTGTTTCTTTGATTCACTTTACAGCCAATAAAAACACATAAAAGGTGGATAGTAGCTTTAACCAGGCATCATGCAGAGACTGGGACAAGTAAAAGTCTCCCACTACACCGCTGTCAAATGTTTTAAAACATTGGCCCAGGAGCTGCATGGTTTTCCTATGTGTTTAGGGCTTAAGCCATACTCAAGCAAAGCAAAATGGCATTGGTTTTGTGACTATAGATGTGACAGTATTAATCAGTAACATACAGTATGATTTAATACCTATATATAATAATACCCATATATAAAGTGTGTTTTGTTACACGGCAAAGGGATTTTTTTTTTTTCAGGACAAGATAATTGTGTAAACTAATAGACAGTGTAAATGTAAAAAATAGTGTTAGTTATAAAAACATTATTTTTTTCTTCATTTCACATTGTGACATCCCTAATGCAAAATTGTGTAAGTAAATCCACAATTGTACTAATATGAACATACTGACCGTGTGTTACAGCTCCAGAGGTGCTGGCTCAGAAGCCCTACAGTAAAGCTGTGGACTGCTGGTCCATTGGAGTCATCGCATACATACTGTAAGTACCACACACACAGTATCTAAGATCAGCCAATCAGGAACAGCAAGAGCCTTGTGCTATATACTAATACAAAAATGCACTCTCCTCCAAGCTTTAAAGACCCTTATTACACTATCTAATCTGTGTTATAATGTTTACTCATCACAAACATACCTGGAGTTGTGTTTTGTTTGTTTGTCATTCACACCTGTTTATCACATAAACCCTGCAAATTTAGGCTGAGTTCAAAACACTATGTTCAACCTTGTGATGTCATGTTGGTAATACAGGAAGTTCTCCACTTTGTTTTTAAACACCATATATCTTCAGTAGAAACATTTGGATGATTTCAGACTTGGACTTGCCAATCTTCATAAAACAGAAGGTAAAATGTAGCTGTTAACTTAAAAAATACCACTACATGACATAATAAGGTGGAACAAAGCATTTTGAGTTTAAGATTTAGACAGAGTAATAATAAAGGGGTATTCAAATATGTGTGAATATAACAAATCAAAACTCTGGGTAGGAGGTAACACCATTATAACATCACAAAAATCAATGTTATGTAATATAGCACCTTTAATGGTGTCAATTTTTATCACAGATTTGCATTATTAGACAATTTAGCTCGTTATTTGAGAAGAATATTACAAGCATTCGTTTTGTTTCATCTTTGAGCATTTGCATAAGAGCCTGATCTGTGAGAGGACAGATTTACAATATTAATTTCATACTTATTGCTATGTTTTCCTGCTTTCTCTATTTTCTCTCATCAACATAAAGCTCTATAGAAGGTTTGTCAAAGTAGTACAACTTTTACAATCTTGTTATTCTAATATTGACACCCTGTCGGAAAAGATTGGTTTCATGAATTACAGTGCTACAGCAGGTATAATAATGTGCAGATTTTCTGTCCATTGTCTTTATTGAATGAGTTTGAGTTCACGGCTTCAGTGAGTCACCTCTGTGTGTGTGACTAACTGTAGAGTGGCAGCATAAACAGCAGCATGTGTTCAGTGTGAAATGTTCTGACTGTATCATTACAAGCAGCTTTGTGCCATTTCTAAACACAGATGTTGAGTTCTACAATTACCATTTATGGACATAGAGCTGAATTATTGTTTTCTCTTCGTCACCCCCTTCTTCTTCTGCACAAACACATGTTAAAGACCAATAAATAGTGATTTATTTTACACTAATGCTCGTAAGGGAACACGCTTTGTGGTAAACTGCTAGGCCCCTTTGCTGTTTTCCCTGCTGGCTTTAAGACTAAAATAAAAATATAAGAAATATGCTTTAAAATAAATAGAAATACTTGGCACTTTGCAATATTTGTGAATGAAAACAAATAAGTGGTATGCATAAAGTAGAAGTTAAAGGTGCACTATGTAACGTTTCTGTTGGCATCCTCAAATTTTTGTCTATGGAGATGTTATTGCTTACCTGGAATGTTTCACAGTATGGCATTAATTCAGTTACAGTTGTTTATATTGCTTTGAAAAACATGCATTCTTCTGAGCGGGCTCGCCTCTCCACAGACCTGGTCTGCTGTCGCCTGTTTGTCTCCATGGAGATAAGCCATTCTGTGGAACATCCTAGGGGAAAACATTGACATCTCCATGAAGGCAACCAAGTGGGCGAACCTTCCACCAGAAAACTGTGCACTGTGCACCTTTAATGCGGATGTCAACCCTGCAGATGTTAATACAGTCTACATGTGTTTATGCAGTCATAAACCTTTACTGTCTCCTAGTTTAAATTAATATTGATTGGCTTGTTCAACCTGTAAAATTAATCTGGGAGCAAACTAATGGGAACAGCCTCTACTTGTATCAAAGGTTATGGGAAATACACAGCACTCTCCTTTGGGATGAGGGAAAGGTTTTTGTGCACTAGAATGTTATCATAGGTTTTTCCATGATAAATATTCAGGAGCTGTACCCATTTACAAAAAAATCTGAAATTAACCAACAGGTAAATCCCTCATTCATCCAGTTCAGTTGACTACCGATAGATAACATTGACTAAAAAATCAGATTGTTATCTCATATATATTTTCAAATGAAATGGCATGTAAATTGTTAAATCTAATGAGAGTTATCTGATTTCTTTCTCATCTTTGACTCCATGGCACATAAGAAGAGAAGAATAGAACGAAAGGGAAAACTGACAAAGATTAAGGAATACAATGAAAGTAATTTATTATTTTGGCTACCACAGTCTGAAAATCCATTAAAGAACTGATACATTTAATCACATCTAATTGTCTGGCTCGGATTACTCTGTAGGTATATAAATCTACCCTACAGTTTGGATTATTTGTGGATTTTTAATTTTTTTTTTAATTACTTGTTTATACGATCCAATGCTATATGGAACAGAAATGGCACCAGTGGCAATTTCCTTGTAAAAATTATTAGCTTTTTTTGTCTATTTTTTTTTTTTTTTACTTAATTTTTTTATATAGTATTTGGTTTTACTGTAGTGTATATTTTTAAATAACTGTTAACTGACAATATATATTATACTATTGTTATATTGGAATCTTGTAATCTTACCCAACTCAAAAGGCCAGTGCATCTGGGACATCTGTCATTTTAATTATCCCATTAACAGGCTGCTCAGTGCACTGTAAAATGTGTTTGTTCATGTGTTGCTCTTTTTATTGGTATTTGACCTCCACCTGATGATTTCATTATTAGCTGGACCAGAGTTCAAAGTTGAGGGGTCGAGAGAAGGTTAACAGGGCACAGAATGTGAAAGTGTCACATGCTTGTTTCCAATTAGGAACAGCGCAGATGAGAAAGTAATGTATGACCTTTCTCTTGGTTTGTAAATATAGGTACGATTGAATTTAACAAAACACTGTATTGAAGAAATGTCTTGAGTTACAGTAGTAATAAGATACATGTATGTGCTTGTATGCAGTTCACAGCATGTAGGATGAATTGGTTTCTGGTTTCTAGAAAATGAAATGGTGTTTTTTTACTATATTGAATTTTTATATAGATTTTTATCCACAGTATTCACACTGTATGTATACATCCACACTAAATGTGAATATTAACAATAGTAATTTTGACTACTGCTCTTTCATGGAAAAACTTCAATCCTAGAGTGTTGTAATCAAAACCACAGCCTGATGCTCAACATGTTGTCCAATATGTTGTACAGTATAGACCTATGTGTAAAAATACTGTATATTTCGATGACTTTCACTTTATATTGTATTACATATTACAGGGTGGCTAAGAAAAACATATGAAATTCTATCAATCAACAAAGAACAAGGAATCCACTTGTTGGTATCTTACAAATCCCTCCACAGAAGCACTGTAAAAATGTTCAGGCAGCTGATTTTTTTTTTGTACATTTTTGCAGATAATTCAAAAGAGTTGCTTCCTTGTAGTTTTAGGACTTTGACATCTCTCTCGCCCATCACTTAGTATCACTTCAGACTGTATAGAGGACACTGGTGATTTTCATGGCTGATTAACTATAGGGATCCTTCCACCTGAGCTGCCGCTAAAGATAAGTAGATCAGAATGCAGGCGCTAATTGGGCTAATTACCAGCAGGGAGCCAAGCTTTTTCTCGCCACAAATGTGAAAGCTATTTTGTACAATAACCTGGCATTAAACCTTCCTTTTGAAATCCAAAAGTACTGCCCCCTTCTCAATAAAACATGGCAAAGGTACACTGCACAACTTTTCTGGTGGAGGGTTTGCGACCTACTTGTCTCCATGAAGATGTTACTGCTTTGCCTGGAATGTTCCGTGGTGTAACATCATACATACCCATCTAGCATTTATTGATTATGGGTGTTTTTATTGCTCAAAAATACAATAATTCCTTCTGTGAACAGAGACAACTCTCCACAGATCTGACTTGTAATGTAGATTAGGGCTGTGACCTGCTCGTCTCCCTTGTGATAGATAGGTTTCATCTATACTGTGGAACATTCTAGACAAAGCAATAACATTTCCGTGGAGACAAGCTGGTGGAAATATTATACGTTGCACCTTTAAACCTAAAAGCATGTGTTGATGTCATCTAAAAGCTTGAATTAATGAACTTTTGTATTCTTCAGGTTGTGTGGTTACCCTCCATTCTACGATGAAAACGACTCTAAACTGTTTGAGCAGATTTTGAAAGCGGATTATGAGTTTGATGCTCCATACTGGGATGACATTTCAGACTCAGGTTAGAATTAACTTTTCTCCTGTGTCACACCTCAAGCACAGACCACTGCACAGATGGACACTGCCGTTTCATTTAACCATGTGGAGTCCAGAACAACACATGAAGAAGATATGCGACCACTGTTTAGGAATTCTTTCAATGCAGATAAAATGCACTTAACACATGTTGCAATGATTTTCTAGTCTAAACTGTCACATATCTACACCATGAATCATCTGTCCTCATCCTTTCTTTGGCATTCTTTTATCTTATTTTTTCTTCCTCTGTTTCCTGGCATCCTTCTGCCCATTCTTCACTATGCCTCCTCTCTACATGTCCAAACTCATCTGACTTTTTCTCTAAAAGATTTCACATCAGCTGTTTCTCAACTGTACTTGCTAAAAAACAACATATGAAATTGTGCAGTGATTAAACAGAAATTAATTATAGTAATCAGAGGATTACGTTCAAATTTATGACACAGCTCACTATTACATTTTGTTCAAGAATATACATATCTTGTACATACAAAAGGTTTCTTAGTAAGATTAAAAGTTTCAATACTACTTTATAATGACTAAATTACAATCAGCCTAAATAAAGCATGAGCAAAGACTTCAGAGACAAATGCTTTGTTAACGCTAATTAAAGTGTATTTATTATACAGTGTTAGCAATATTTATTATTAAGACCACAAATATAGCCTGATAGGTTTGCTGTTGCTTTTCACCGCTTGCCAGTTATGCTTTGAAATCTATTTGTGGCCTGAGCATAGCTATAGAGACACTGTATGTTAATTTTATTTTCATGTTTCATTCACAGCCAAAGACTTCATCGGCAGACTTATGGAGAAGGACCCATCCAAACGCTACACGTGTGAACAGGCCCTCAGACATCCCTGGTACAAACACAATTCACTTCTATGGAAAAACACATTCAATCAATACTCTGTCATATATATTTTTTTTCTTTTCAGGATTGCTGGAGACACTGCCCTCTGTAAGAACATCCACGAGTCAGTGAGCCGACAGATGAGAAAGAACTTTGCCAAGAGCAAGTGGAGGGTACAGGCCTATTTCTCATTATATTCATTCACATTCACTCTTAATCATTCTTGTGTTTGCAGTGAGATGAGTAGTGTTTAATTTTTGTCACTTGACTTGGGGTTCTTGCTGGACTGAATTTTTTTGTGTTTGCTGTGAGCTATTTGTGATTGATTAGCCAAAAAAAAAAAAAAAAAAATCATATCTCAAGTTAACTAAAATCACCTGTTTCTAAATTTCACTATGATTGGTTAAATAGACCTGACACTCAATCAGAGCACAGTAGAGGCTGACCAATAGGAGAAGTGGGTGAGGGAAATCACAATAATATGATAATATGATATGATCATTTTAACTGGCTAGTCTGTTTATAAAGGCACATCTTTATGCACAAAAGACAAATTGAGAATAACACATAGACACACAGAGACTAGGGCAACATAGGAATAAAATGCTGCTAAATGTAGTCAAAAGAGAAAAAGATAAAGATAAAAGTGGTTGATTCTTTTTTCAACTATTATGTGTTGATGTCTTTAATTGATTTTTCTATCCACATAAAAAATGTTTAAATATTTCTAGTATTGACAGATTAACCTGATCCTAATGCCCATCCACACTGTAGGCAATCCTCAGATCTTTCATACCAATATTTAAAACCCTTATATTTTTTCTACCTGTGGTATTGAAGTCTATCTGTTTCCAATGATCCAACATGTGCTGCCCATATATACGATATACAGTCCTTCCACTTCATTTCAAACACCTGAGCTGCTGTATTGACACCTGCAGAGGAGATGAGAGACAGAGACCGGAGCTATTCTGTAATATAGATGATATATATGGCCTAGTGTAAAATCGGTGATGTGTGACTTGGAGCTTGTGAATAGAAAAATGTAAGTTAAAATGGCCAAACATAAAGCAAACTCTGATTTTGTATTGTTTTTGTGCATAGTTTTACTCATATTATTTGTATCTTCTTCTTACTTATTTATAGTCTTTATTAGTTAGTGCAGCATGTTGTTGGCCTTTTAGTATGACGTATTTAGCTGTTTAATTTGGTCGATATTTTTTGACTGGTCTTGGTATAAATTATGATTAACTAAGACAAGTAGGTCAAGTGCATCCATGGGTATTTCTAGTAAAGAATCAGATGAGAATACCATTAAAATACCATGATCAGCCTCTCAAAGCACAGTATCCATATCATTCAGGGCTTAAATAAAATGTCTGAGGCACACTGATTATAAAAATAAATAGAAGTCCTTTATTACAATTATGATTATTATTTCAGAAAATACATTATTTTGCACTTAAATGAGTGGTTTTAATCATCATCAAAATTAAGTTAGAAATGTGAGTATTCTTGGATTATTCTATAAAGCAGGTTAGATACAAAACTATCAATACTGTTGTTTTTAGAATTGATTTTAAAATGTTATTGCTTGTTTTTAAATGCATTGACAGACTTGCACCACCCTATCAGAAATGCTGTCTTTGCACACCTCAGTCATAACGCTTAGCCTTAGGTCTACTGGACTGCCCATGGTCCAGACTTAAGAGTAGAGGAGACAGGGATTTTTCCAGAGCAGAACCTAAACTGGAATTCTCTCCCTCTGAGCATCAGCATGGCCACTTCTGTAGAGAACTTAAAAATCTGTATTAAAACACACACTTTTTTTGCATTGGCTTTTAACACAAGATGAGTTGACCATTTTTATTACAATCTGATTATTCGCTTACTGCTTTTACTGTGTTTTATTGTGCTACAGTTTTATGACTTTGCTAATTGTTTTATTACTTTACATGTGTATTTGTATCTTGTACAGCACATTGGGGCAGTGGTGGTGCTTTACAAATAAACTTGACCTGGACTTTGACAAAACAAACTTACTCACTTGCTTATATTGCATAGGTGTAGAAGTGTTTTACTGACCGTTTTCTAGTTAGATCTAAATAAAAGCTGTGTTCTTGTCCCAGGGAAATTATTAAGTGTTGTATCTTCTTGTCTTTTCCCCATAGCAAGCCTTCAATGCCACAGCTGTAGTGAGACATATGAGAAAACTACAGTTGGGCAGCAGTATGAACAGCAGCACAGCCTCCTCCAACTCTGCAAACAAACAGAACCAGGTCCCCAAACCAGTCCAAAACCAGGTCCAGATCCCAGGAACAACCGAACCAAGCCAGTCCAGTACCACCGCAGTCACCGTGACAACAGCAGCAGCCACTGGGAGTAAGGTCTCTGTCACAGAAAACAACATTACTACTCCACGCAAAGAATGTAAGTTTTATTATTTATTTATCTTCACAATGCACACTTTAAAAAACCTAAGAGGATTAACATTTGAGAGAAGACTGACATATGAACTGCTTAACTAATAGAAGAATAGGCTTGGGGTTTTATTAGTTTTGCAGATGGTCTCTCAGCATTACATGGGCAATCTTAGAAAGTAGTGAGTCATTGTCATTGTCATTAGAAACCATTTGTACTGTACAAACCACAACCTAATAAACTAATAAACTATGATATATACTCGTCTTACATAATAACCTTGACAAATGCATATAAACAAAGCATGAACTTGTGAAAGAGACATGCCAGGACAATTTTCACAAATCACTGACACTACAGCATGAGAAAGACAGGTTAACGGTTCTTAATTAACACTAATCATGTGTCCACAAATGTGTCCCAACTTGCAGAGAGTTCATCTTAAGTTGAAAGTGCGATGAATAGTTTGTTGCTTATACTAAATTGGACAGACTTGAGTCTTTATTTTATGGCGCTGAATGTGTCTGAAATTGTCTCAAAGAATTTTTACTCACATGTGATTGTTTACTCCAGCCAGATAAATTAGAGAGCATTCACAACATTATAGAATTAGGTGTCATAATTTCAAAAGAAAAGCTATAGAGAATGAACTGTATTCGTTAAACCTTGTGACATTAAATTAAATATTTGGAGTGATTCATGGATGTTGGCATAATCTTTAATTGCTTATTTTCATGATGCCATATTTCCGTTCAGTCTCCTCTTCCTTACCACTAGCGTGATCTGCAGCTATTTGTCAAAGATGCCAACTCTTTGTTATGATGATGATGTTTGCAGCGACGTTAGTTCCAACTGTGCACTGCATTTTTCTAACGCAAAAGTCAGCTGACTTGTTTCTTTTATTAAGTTTTAGATTAATGTTGCAATTTTCAATTAGGTGTCATAGATTACCACTATATAAATGACACAAGTCCAATAGTTTTTCTTTAAAGCAAAAAAATTCTTCTTTTCCTCAGGTGTTCCTGCCCCAGCCACACCCTGCAGTCTGGCCTCCACAGCGGCCTCCTCCTCTGCAGGGACAGAGCTGAGCCGCCCCCTCCCCTCCTCAGTCCCTGCCCCCGTCCTCCAGGAAACCAAGTGACGCCAAGTCCCGCGGGGAACCAGCTGGGAGGCCACTGCGCTGTAGACCTGCACACATCCACACATGAACTGAGGAAAAGAGGAGATCATGGAAAATGGCTTCTCTGGATTCTGAGCCTCCAACTTGTTCCCTGCCCTGCTCCTCAATGGGCAGAGGACTGGACTTTTCCCTAAAAACAGACACTCAGCTGTAAGGAGTGAAGAGTGTCAGAAAAGGTGCAGTCCAGTTTGGTGTGATTGTTTACATGGTTTACATTGTTCACAGGTAGTGTGGTGTAGAAGTGATGCAAATTAATTTGTATATTGCTATAGAGTACTTTTTAGGAAACATGATGGAATATACTAGTAAACTAAAGTTGGCACTAAATGCTACTTTTTCTTAATGGTCAACAAAAAATATTGTTTATGTACACTGAAAATCACAAAAGTAATCAACCCTTATTATGACTGACCCAATATATGTAGTTTATTGTGGGTGGTACACATAACTAAAATATTTGTATTTCCAGTGAGAGTATTAGAACTTTGCTAGTACTTTTACACATACTTTGAATGAACTTTTAATTCTGGTACCAGATTATAAACCATTGTTTCCACCCTTAGATCAGATTTTTGTTTCTAAATTTAAAATGTGAGATTATTCATACCCAGTTTGCTTCTTTACGTTGCGTTTTGTACACAGTTACCTGATTCATGGACAGGTTTTGCAACAACCTTTAGTAGACAATGGGTAAGGAATATATTATTTCAGAATATCCATAATTATTTGATGCTCTAACTAACAACCTGAGTACAATTGCTTTCAGAAACCATTCAAACCAAACTGCACTGTACCACTTGAGTTACACCCAGCTCTCCTCCGCCGCAGCGCCCCCTTCAGTTGCAGAGTCGCTGTCACCCTGTGGAGGCCCTGGGACCTGCCTCTGTCTTTATGATAAATGACTATGAGCCGCCCTGAGGTGAAGGACTAACTGCCGGCTCGAGACTGGGCTAATGCTTCGATATTATTCAACGTCAACTTCCCTCTTCAATCTTCAGTCCTTCCTGCAACTCTTTATTTTTATTAAAATACTTAAGACTGTTTTTAACTGGGTTCATTTTTAATGTCAGCTTGAAGGTGTTATGTGTTTGATCTATTGGTACATTGAAACTGCCTTCTCAGTGCAAATTTTGTAGCTTCTTTAAAATTTTTGATCCATTTGGTCTCCCATTTAATCTATACAAATCTTCCTCTCAGCATTTTTAGTGTAGATGTGCCATTTTATGGGTTACACATAACACCTGTTTTTCTTATTTATGAGTATTGGCTTATTTTGTCTGTTTGTGCTTTAAAAAGTGCTTTAAAAGTACCACATGACTGTTGATGTGTTGCTATGTTGGAAATGTTGTATTTACATGGAGTTCAGCTGCATTCAGGGTGAGAATGTAATAATATATAATAGTAGGTTTCAGCATTGTCCTAATTGGACTGGAAAATATATCATCAAGGAATTTTTGACAGTTTTTAACCTTTATAAAATATTTGACTGCACAAAACAGTATAATTACACTTTTACTTTTCCTCTCAAGATACTTTTCTAAAACACATTGTTAAATAAATTAATACATGTAAAGTATTTTCTGAATGCCAGATCATACAGGTGAATATAGAGGAGACCTAATCCGCTCACGCAAACTCAAATCTTGGTGTTTTTATGTGAGAGATAACATCTCTACTTTAAGTTCCTCATCCAGACCAGATTTGTCATTTTCAAAACGTACATTACTTCGAACTAGTAGCTGAAGATACCTGCTTTTTACAATAATGATTTCTGGCAATGCTTCTTGAATGTCACATCCCCATAACTCTGTCTGTGTGGGCCTTCCTGGACTGTTGCTGGACTCCATGTGAATACAGAATTTTTGTTTTATCTAATTTGCACAGAGGCTCAGACAACCTGTATACACTTATCAGATACTCGTTTAAGATTGTAAAAATGATTTAGTGGATGTCAAAAGTGTATTGTACAGCTTATAAATGAAACTCTATGATTGCGTAAAATATTTTAAACTATTACTATATTACATGCAAAGTTAAAACCTATGTAACTTTTCTAGATGGGAGACTCACCACTTGCTTTTCTCCATGAAGATGCTTATGCTCTGTGTTGTAAAGTATGGCATTAAACTTCTATATCTATATTGCATTTATTTAATTACAGGTGTTTTTATTGCTCAAAAATACATTATATATTTACAACAGGCATTTTTACTGTGAGTGTTGCCATCTCTCTACACATCTAACCTGTAATTCAACCTGTTGACATCACCTGCTTGTTACCATGGAGAGAAGATTAATGCCATACTGTGAATCTAGCAAAATAATTACATCTCCATGGAGACTGCATTTCCTCCACCAGAAAAGTTGCATAGTGCATCTTTAAGGACATAACGGGGAACAAGTATGCATATTTACTTTAACTGCCTACTACTGAGAATGTTGACTTCCCATAGCAGTGCAATGCAATCCCACTTGGCTCCAGACACAAAAACATTGTAGATTTGTAGTTATAGATTACTGGAGTCAAATGTAAGCCATGATTTCTCTCTTTTCGCACTTACTCCGCTGCGCGCCGTTCAGAAGTGCTCAGGGAAACTACAGCCCCACTGTGTGCTGGCTAATACTGGCTTTCTGTTACAGGTACATTGTATTGTTGTAATCTTTTGTTGTCGGTATTGCCAAATGTACAGGCTTCACAGTCTTCTGTCCAGGGCTAAAACTGCAAAGAAACTGGTTGATTTTTCCCTGATATTCAAAGCACCTTTCAAAGCATTTTTCATCTCAACTATGGTTTTGGATGCACAAGCTATACTATTATTTCTGTATTTCACCGATAAGCACCAAAATAAGTATAAGAGTATACTTTTTGCTCCATGTAGACCTTTGAAATCATTTCTGCATTTGATCTACCCTTTAATAATCCCACTGGAGCAGTCAGGAACAATCAGTCCTGGTCAGAGGTATCACAATGACAGAAAAAAAGACCAGATTAAGATCAACCTGTACCATCCAATCCAGCCCAAATATGCATTAAGTGGGTTCCTTTGTTTATTTTTTACTTAGTTTGTTTCAGCGTTTTTCAAGCTTTTGACTCAAGACAATAGATAAGGTTAATAATCAACTTTCTTGAAAATTTTAAAAGCCATTCTGCTGTCATGTGCACAGTCAGTATGTTACTTTAAAACTACAACATCGTGAGTTTAAAATTATGATTCTAGGTGAATATTTAAGCTTTATTTCAGTTTGGTTGGTGAAGGCCTTGGTGCTCATTTACATATCAGATTGTTATGTCTGTATTGATGCAAATCTGCGGATCCCTTTATTGTGAAGTCTGGCCAAAGACTAAATACAAGTCTTTTGGCATGTTTTGTAAATTAGAAAAAAATGCTCTTAGAGAAATAGTGAATCGTACTAAGGGCTGGAAAGTCACTCCCATGTATTTCATTTTGTGCAAAAATTGAAGAATGAATTTGAACAGTTCTCATGATGAGTAGCCACTATGTATGTCTTTATTGATCTAAAAATGCTGGAAATACTGTCTTTATTGTCTGTTTTTAAGCTTATGTCCACACTGATATACATTTGTTAACACAGTATATGCTCCTCACCTTTTGTGTTTGTTCATGAATTGGGAAATGCAAAAAAATCTATGGTAAACCAAATCTATTACAGGTCAGATAACCATTCTGATTTGTTAATTATGACCAATTAATTTTAGAACTTAAGACAAATTTAATCTTATTATTTGTTTGTGTACTTTGCATATTAATAAAATAAATTACATTATTTTTAAACTAAACAAAAGTGGATTGGTGTGGACATATTTTGAAGTTGCTGCTGAATGTGCTGTTTTTGTCTAACATCAAGTGAATATTTTGTGCACTGAAATTCCCTAGATTTAACTTCTGGTGTCTTTAAATGCCTGCTGCAAAAAGTTAAGCACTTCTGGCCAATATTTATTCATTTGAAATCTCACATTACGTTTAGGATGTCCGTGTTTTGGTTTCATCTAGTACTTAAAAATAGGAAATGGAAATGTTTGTAATATTGTTTGAGATTAGAGTTTGCATTTCATGTGGTTCTTAGCCCGTAAAGAGTTTCAGACTTAACTACAATATGGCTTTGAATTATTTTAGAAAATTGTTTGAGAAGCAGACAGGAGCAATGGTATAGACTGTCTGGGGTATTTGGGTAGAAAGGCATTTAAAACACATCTCCACATAGCATTGAATAAACCTACTGATGAATTTATTATATTTGGACCTTATTTCCTATCAGAGTTAAAAAAAAAAAAAAAAAAAAACTGCCTTTAATTAACAATATGTAACAACCCTTTGAACAGTGTGAACATGTGCATGGTCTAGTTTCATATACTGAGTATGGTAAAAAGTAATGCTATATGAAAGCCTTTGTACCTGTCTGTTTCTCATATTATTGAATATTTAGACCCAATGTTATCTAGAAGAGCCACATTAAGAAAAAGTACATCTGTTGCGACTCTAACTTCAATTAGTGAGTCTAAATTATTTGGAACCATGTAAGGGCTTTATGTATCTCAACCATAAATATTTCATTTACCACTTATTTCTATGCATTTATGCATTTGAGCTCCTCTGTATTTAGCTCTTTCACACCAAGACTGGAATGACCCATTCATAATTAATTTTAGACTCATTCTTGTGATATTAGGTAAAAGTGATTGCAATTTTGTTGTAACTGGTGTCACTAAATCTTTGAGCCATTGGACGTTTACTGTGAGGCAGACGCTTTGTTTCTGTTTACTAATGTGGTGAATTCATTTGATTGACGTTTTGAAACTGTAAATACGATGTGTATATAAATAATCCTTTTTCATATATTTTTGAATGTCTTGATTAAGGCATGTTTGACTGATTGAGGTGAGAGGAGCTGATTGTATACTTGTACTTCATGTGTATGTAAAAACAAAACTGAAATCTTCGTTCCCTCAAGTCAATTCAGCCAGCAGTTTTTCCCAAGCCTTTTGTGCAGTGCAATGCTATAATGTATTAACCCAGACCAAGACCAGTCATTTTTACTTTCACTGACATATTATTAACTGGAAATCAACACTGTAATTTAACATTTATCAATCAGCCAATCAAATAATAATAATTATTTGTTTTATTTATTATTTTATTTATTTGTCCTTGCAGAAAGAAATAATAATTACAAGTTACTCAAAGAAATCTAAGGAATTTCTTCTGAACACTCTTCAGAGTAGCCAGTTTTGTCATAATTTTGTAACAAATGTTCTTGACTTTGAATCTTGCCATCCTAATTCTCTCATTTTAACATTTAGCAGAGCCTTTTACTACAAACATTCATTCATTGGTCCTGCAAATGTCAGGAGGCTACCCCTTTGATTCTAGCTTTATACAATGTTGTTAATGTAAAGCATTTTCTTACTAACTTGCCAGGGTATAATAAAGGTTTAAACAAATACCTTCTGTATAAAGTTTACATGACATTATGAGTTATTTTTAGTATTTATTAGTAATTCTCTCAATACATGGTCTTGGTCTTTTGTTTTTCTTTTGCGTCTTTTAACATAGTAAGTAAATGTTTAGCCAGGCATCAGCTCGGTCCAGCTCCCACATCAAACTCAGGCTTAAGTTTTTTGCCATTATCCAAAGCTGTGACAGAAAACTCACTGTAATTGGACCATGAGCACCACTTAAATACTAAAACAGAAGTGCACTGAGATAGAGCATGTCAAAGCTTCACAAGTGTTGCATTGCCCTGTGTGTAAGCCCTTTGTGATGTTAATATCTGTGTTATGTAAAGGACACGGAGGAAGCCATAGGTCCGAACAAGGCTAGAGCAGTTTCAAGTTTCAGTATATAATTATTAAATTGATTTACCACTCATTAGCAAATTCAGTTCTTTTCTAATGGGAACTCATCTGCTTGTTTCCATGAAGCTGTTATTGATGTGCCTGGGAGGTTCCACAGTACGGCATTAAATCGATCATACATTTATTCAATTACAAACGTTTTTTATTGCTGAAATGCCTTGAAAAACGTGCATTATTTTGTGTGTGACCTTGCCTTTTGACAGATATGACCTGGAACTTGGCCTGTTAGCGTCACTTGTCTCCATAGAGATAGACAACTTTAATGCCATACTTTGAAACATTAAGGCAAAGCAATAACATCCAGAGACAAGCAGGTGATAGAAATGAAAAAGACATTTTATTACAGGCCAAAACATTTACCTAGTGAATTCAAATAATTATTTTGTCTTGTTTTGTTGGTAGATATACATCTTATTATTACTTAACTTCCTCTTGGCATTTAGTCTGACCTGCTCTTCCTCCCTGATCTTGTCTAATGTCCCAGGCCAAATGGCTTAAATCTGTCTATGTCCCTCCCCCTCTGCATGTTGACCCCTCCCTGCCCTGTGCTCTATTCACTGTCTCATGTGGTCCATTCTAACTGTCCTGTAACAGGAGAGCGCTGTCTTCTCTGTATACTCTTGTGCTGTGATGATGACTTTTGTTCTTATGGGGCTTTCAAATGTATAGATGCCTTTGACAATCACTGCACATATCAGAGCGTCCATCAGAGCCCAGACCGAAGCTGTTCATTTGTTTTTCTCTCTGGAATAAAAGATGATTGATCACAACATGCATTTGTCTCTAATTTGTGGGCAGGTGTGGAAATAGAGGGGAACTTTTTGCATGTGAAGTTACACAGAGCATTCTTAAACTTGGTTAAACAAATGCATGTACTTATTTTTGAGGAATAAAAAGGCATAATTGAATAAATGTAATCGACAAGTTAAATATACTGTGGACCATAAGGCAAAGCAATAACATATCTATTATTATTATTATCATCATCAACATTATTATTATTTATTTTTCACAATAACACAATAAAACAACACAACACAATAAAAAACACACTAGATAAGGGCTTATAATGGGTTTACTGTGGTAGTCCACCATTCAGAAAAGTGTAAGTTTAAAGTTAAAGATGCACTGTGTAAAACAATTTAAACTATTTTCTATTATTTTGTCTAGAATGTTCTGGCATGGCATTCAACATGTCTGTTTTGCATTCACTCAATAACATGGGTTTTACTGACCTATAAAAACTTGCATTCTTACTGTGAGTGGGCTTGCCTCTCCACAGATCTGGCATAAATTGGCCCTATGGCAGGGGTGTCAAACATACGGCCCGGGGGCGCTCCAAGACCTTTAATCTGGCCCTTGGCTGATTTTCTACTAAAATATTTTAATTATATTTTGTATTACAATATTGGTAATTAACGTAGCAGTAACATAACAGTAACATAACAGTGACATAGCAGCATCTCCAGCACCTCTGTGCATGGCCCCTCCCACCAGAGCAGCACAAATGAAGACTTGCCTCTTTCCAAAGGCTCTTAAAGGACGATTGTTTTGACTGTTGACCGTGACACCCTCATCAGCAAAATGTCAAAAATGAGATAAGTGGACGCCACGTGCAGGAGTTTCCAAGAAAAATTTACGTATTCCTATTTGCATACAAGTTCATGTTCAAACATTGTGTTGAAATTGCAGGTTGTTCATAATATTATAATGTTTTGTAAAAGAAAGAGTTAATCAATTAAAAAAGATTTCTGTAATAGATTTGCGTTTCGTTGCACAAATATTTGAACTTATTGCTATTTTTGGGATATATATGCCATGAGTTTTCTGATCCGGCCCCTTTGGGATCAAAGTAGGTTGGATACGGCCCCCGGACCAAAATGAGTTTGACACCCCTGCCCTATGGCATCACCTGCTGTCTCCTTGGAGATAAATAAGTGCAATGACATACCATATACATGAAGAGAAGCAGCCCTCTACCAGAAAAGTTACACAGTGCACCTTTACGTTACTGGCAAATGTTGGTTAGGCAAGTAGTATGGTTGAAATTAGGATCTGTCTCCACTAGGGATGTAACAATAACCAAAATATTGTGATACTGTGTCGTCAAAAGTCTCACAACAATATTGTGGGCTGTCACAATATATCGAATTATATTTTTCTTTGCTTAAATGTATGGTTTTATAGTAGCAACAACTTACGAACATCACTACATATCCCATGATTAATTTCAGTGCAAACAACATGAAAAAATATGTTTTTTACCAGAATTTTTGGGATTATGAATGAAATAATTCACACTAAAATCTTGTCAAGGTATTTTGAAAGCAAAAAAGTGTCCCATCTACAATTATATTAGCTTCTTCAAAATATCGCAATAAATGATGCATATTATGATAATATCGTACCATGAGATTTGGATATCGTTACATTCCTAATCTCCACTGCTTTTAAATATATGATGTCATTGGGTTAGTATTGAAAAAATGCAATACACTACTGAATATGGCCACGAGAGGGGGGCATAAATTGTCACTTTTTTCTTTTATTAGTGTCAGGGTTGGGTAAAGTATGTTGATATGATTCTTGGACCATGCACTTGGACGTGTATAAACCTGGAGCAGAGCATGACTTGGGGCTTTGGACTTGGAGTTTATTGTGCATTCATTTAGACATCTGCTGCATTCCTTCTTATGAATACAGGTGCACTGAGATTGCAACAGTTGTGCCCAATCTCTCATGGCAACGTTTAAAGTCATAAAAAAAATATAAAAGAATAATAGCCATGTCAGGCGGCTATGGAGGAAAACTGTTGGATTTCACTCCACTTTTTTTACTTTATTTTTTTATCCTTTTGATTTTTAACTGTTGTTTTATGGAATAGGCCTACTTTGGACATGAGGAATGTTCAGGTATGCCATGAAAAAAAAATGCAAATTGAACTGTACTGAAAAAAGTTTTGTAGCGTTCTTAGCAAACTTCTAAACCAGATGAGGTGGCAGGGCTTTACTATATATATATATATATATATATATATATATATATATATATATATATATATATATATATATATATATATATATACATATATATATATTTTTTTTACACAATGGCATCCACAGCATTTTTCATCATGCATGTAGTGTGCCACAATTTGAGGGGGTGTGCTTGAGTAACTTCTTAAAGAATTGGCACTTTTCAGAGTACTTTTCAAGCATTTTACCGATACTTGAGAAATATTTTTATGAAACTAACAGTACTCTTACTGTAACAAACAGGCTGGTTTGTTACCCAGAACCACACTTAGCACCTTCACCCTTCACTAGAACACTTTAAAACACTGCACTTTCATAGCACACTGCACTTTTAACATAAGAACATAACATAAGTAAGTAAAAGTGTGGTTACTCTTCCATCAGTGAGTAAGTCACAAACAAAAAGCTTTATGTTGACAAAATCAAATGATTTGAGCATTTGGTTTTCTTGCAGCATCCTTTCAGATATGATTTAGTTTTTCTAATTTCTGTGATCTGTCCTTTGAAAATAGCAGATTTTGTGCATTATATAACATTTAGTCCTTCAAATTAACTTTAAAGTAGAAATCATATCTTGGTTCCTCCTGGCAGTTATACTCTTTAAATTACTTGAGTAATTTCTTGGACCACATTGTACTTCTACTTGAGTAATGTTATTTTAAAGTAATGGTATGCACTAACTACTGTGGAATACACTTTGTTAAGACAGGAATAATTTTACAAATGTTTATCATCATCAAAATCATTAAAGTTCTCAATGTAAACATGCTATCCTTTCCATAAATGCACTGACATAAGTGACTATTCGAACTAGGTGCTGCATATGTTTTGGTCGTGTCTCTACTCTCGCCTCATTCTGCTTTGACATCTTTGATAATCTAACAGTGGTCTCGTGGTCAGCCTCTCTGGGCACTGATCCTTTGTCAAAGTGAATTATGGAGAAATCTGAACTGAAGTCGTGCTTCTCGGATCAGGCCTGCCCACTTCATCACATTCCTATCAACTGACAGACCAAATATTAGCAATCACAGGTAGAGCATTAAACTGAAGAATATGTAAGCAAAAAGGAATGTTGGTAATGTAATAGATTATTTCACTTCTTTCAGGGCATTTGTGAGTGACTTTTAGACAGTGACATTGTAAGTCAATGTCTAAAATATATAAAATAAAAATCTAAAAAAAATGTAATTAAAAATCTACATCTTATAAGTAGCCAAAATTTCTTACACTTTATGAACCCTGCTTGTATTACAATGCATACCTTCTCCCTTGATAACATGCTGCACTGATAAACAGGCCAGAAAACATAAATCATTATAGTGGGTAATTTTGCACAAAAAATGACTTTAATACATTGCTGATAATTACAACTCTTGATTACAGGTTAAACATTAAACATACAATAGCAAAGGATCTACCTTTTTGAAGGCTTCATGGCAATTACGAAGTACAAAGTAAAGGCACGATATCTGACAAAAACATCCACTGTTGTTGATCAAGTTTAATCCATGTGTTGAATTTGCCTTAGAGATGATGTGATATAAACATTTGTAGACTTGTGTTTCTTTCATTAGCAACTCACACAACACAAGAGAAGTGATTCACTTGAATGTTCAACAAGGCACTTTTTCAGGGAAAGTTTAGTATGGAATGAAAGTAAATTTTTTGTTAATCCCCTCTCTTTCCTCCTTTCCCTCGTTCTTTTTCTCTCACTCTTTCTCTCTGTATATCTCTCTCATTCTCTCACCATCTTTCCCTCTCTCACACACTCTTTCTCCAACTCACAGTCATTCTCCCTTTCACACCTCTATTCCTCTAATTCTCCCTTCCTCTCTCTTATCCCTTTCTCTCCCCCTCACCCCTTCTTTCACTCTCTTTCACCCTCCCTCTCTCCATTGTGTCAAATGGTAGCAGCTCTGTGTTTTCACTTGGGTTTATCACTTGTTTGTGTTGGTGTTTTTCACAGCGGAGCGTGTGAAACGTGAGCCCTGTGTGAGTCCACTTTAAACTTACAGGACTTCAGAGGAGAGAGGAGCGAGACCAGTCAGCTGTAACCAAGAGATACCAAAACAACTAATTAACCTGAACAGCATTTTTTATTGAATCAGTCACAAAAAAGGAAAATAATTCAATATTAGTGATTTTTCTTCTGTTAAAGGTGCAATAAGTAACTTTTCTGGTGTGGTATGTTTCTCTGCTTGTCTTCATGAAGATGTAATTTCATTACCTGGACAGTTCCACATTTATGGCATTAAACATGTCTTTCATTTATTATATTTTTAACAGTGAAAAGGCTCACCTCTCCACAAATCTGGTCTGGTGGTGCCATTTGCTTGTCTCCATTGTGATAAGAAACAGGCAGGTAGCATACCCTTCACCAAAAAATTACTTTAGCCTATTAAGTTATTGCAACTCCTGCATTATTTTAGATTATGATGAGTTAGAAAAGTGTGTACAGAATGCCTTGCTTAAAAGTTGTAGAATTAACATGCATGAAATGGCAAGTTATTTATTGCTATTTAATTATTTATGTGACAGGCCTATAGTCCACAATAAAGAGTTGTTTTGATACTGTCCCTTTACAAATAGCAGTTTCCCTGCCTTGCCATTACTGAATCACACATTATTTAAGAAACAAATTTCACAGAATAAAATTGTGCTTCAAAGCTTGTCACACGAGACAAGCCAAGCTGAAAGAACAGAATGAATGTTGTCAATGGTTACAATAAGAAGGATGCTAAAATACAAACTCCAAACTCTTTACAAAGTCCTGTATTCTCATTGAGACCGCCCAGCAGCCCCCTCCTCCTGTTTGAGTCCCTTCATAGTTTCTGCCGTCTGTCCCCTCTGCTTTTGTACGTGGGGGATCGGGGCTGGTCTATTACATTGAGATGATGTCCAGCTCTCCTCTCTGCAGCAGACAGCTTCTCCTGTAGCACCCTCATCTCCTCATCAGCCTTCTGCGCAGCTTTACGAGTGTTTTTTAAAGATCTTTTCACTTTCTTCAGGCGCTCTTTGAGTTGGCGGTTTCTCCTCTCAGCTGCAGACAGACGTTCCTGGAGTTTTCTGCTCTTTTCCTCCTCTTCGAACAGAGCAGCTTGGACAGAAGAGCACATTAACTGGAAGAAGAAGAAAAAAAAACAGTGTTAAAGACGATATCAGTTACATAAGTTTCAGTATTACTTCATTTCAATAAAGAAACTGACAGCTTTCAATACACAGCAAAACAAAGTGCAGACAGTAAGGAAAATTTCAATAAAATATTAGAGTAATAAAAGTCAAATCTGAGGTTATTCTAGGTTAAGTTCTAAGCCTATTTTCCTCTCTCTAGACACACTGAGAAGTTCTGTCATGACCAACAAAATCTCTAAACCTAAAAACATATTAAATTGTCTGAGAGTTACTTTTATTGCAGTTGAATTTGCACTTTGTTTGTTCAAGATTCATGGTTTAAAACTCCCATGCATTTACCCCCATGCATTTATGAACATGTTTGTAGGAATTTAAACTGCAATGTGAGCAGGGTTTCTCTAGCCATGGGGTTCAGACAGAGTAATACAAATTTAACTCTGTCACCATAGCAATCAACAAATCAAAACTAAATATTTTATCTCTATATATTCCCAATTCTGCAATGGACATTATAATAGAAATTTTAACATAATAACAGAACAATAATATGTCATGTCCCAAAATGATATGACCATTAGAAAAGAGATTTCCATTTGATTGTAATTGGTCATTCAATAAGAAGCCTACCTAAAGTTTCTAGTGATCAACTTAAACTTTGTCCATTTCTTCCGACACTGCTCAGGTTTTGCTAACAGACCTACATCGTACATGACTGAAGTGTCCTGTTGGATTGCTCTGTGTCTGTGTGGGAGCTGGGTTCCTGAGCTGTTCCCAGCGGCCCATTCACTAAAAGAGTGTGCTTTTGAAGTCTTTGTACCTCTCGCTCTCCCCCCTCACCAACCTGCAGGTCCCGTGCCTATAGTCCTGTACATTTATGCCCGCGCAGACCTCCCATGCAGGTTTTAACTCAGACTGGCGTGATTTGTGACTGCTTTGACCTCTTCTATGATCCGGGGTGGTAGCTTTAATGTTATCCTCAGCAGACAGCACACAAAGGGTTAACTAGGGTCACACACATTATGGGGGCCAGACGTGCCTATGCATACAAATGTATCATGATAACAATAAGCTTTCAAAGATATTTAGGTGGAAAATAAAAATAATTTATAGCTCTGAGAAGACTGGTACATAAATGACAGACAAGCCATTGTAGCCCCAAACTTCAATACAAATAAACAACAAAAGCTCACTTGTAGATCATTGCTTGTTTCATGCAAATATATTATAGGACTGTGGCAGTCATTCACTGTGATAAATGAAAAGTGATATATGTCAAAAAATCTGCAGGATTCACTACCTGTCTCTATGGAGATGATATTATTTGACCTAGAATGCCCCACATTTGGCATTAAACATACGTACTTATTTCCATGGAGACAATAGCACAGTCAGGAACAACTAAGTTACAGGTCATCCCCACTCAGTGCATGATTTCTATTTTTGAACAATGAAGTACCTGTAATTGAATCATTTAATTTATACTGTGGGATGTCCCAGGCAAAGAAATAACATCTCCATGGAAACAAGTAGCAGAAAAGTTACATCATGCACCTCAAAAAAACCTGATCTTATGTTTGTTTAAACCTTACAATTTGCACCCACAGCCCTGTCTCAGATCACAGCGGTCTCTCTCTCATCTCAGTTGTATTGAAGAGAGTCTCACAGTTGAACGCGTCACTTGGACAGAGCAGCTCCACCTGTCAAAACATCCTCTGAACCTGCTGTAACTCTGCTCTGGATAAACACAGGAGCCACAGAGGACCAGTCCCACAAAACACTATGAGGACACTACACTAAAACACTAAAAGATGATGTAAGTCTATACCCTTGTGCAGTCTTGATTATGTGGAGTAATTGGTTTGCACTGTTTTTCAATGTCTTATGATGTTATTCATTACACAAAGACATCTACTGAAATTTCTGCTAACTTCTAAAACTAAAAGATCTAAAAATCTATATGGGTTTTTACTTGCGCAAAACAACAGTAATATTGTTTACATGAGATAAAATGGCCCCTTAGATGTTTTTTCTTCTCTTGTTTACACATTACACATGTTTACACACTTTGGATGGTTACAGTCTAGGTCAGTATCGGAGTGGACAGCAGCACTAATGTCATGCTTTGTTTGTTAGTCATCTGTTTTGTTTTTGCTTTGCTCTCAGGGTCAAACACCTGTGTAAGTCCAGGTCAGGTCTCTGCTCGCCCTTCACTCTTTGACCTTTCACCTCTGTGTCATAGATCTGTCTCAATAGACACAAAGGGAGTGAAAACAAACATGTTCTTGGTTGCTTTAAATGTCCTATTAAAAATCCATTGGGCAGTCTATTAATTGTTTCAGTTTCCTCTTTACAGGTGCCATTTTGACAGCTTCTTACCAATCAAAAGGTAAAATATTTAGTTTTTAATTGTTAATTGTACAGTAATTAAATACAATACAACAGTAATGAAATTAATGTTAGATGTTAGATGTTAGATGTTATTGCTTTGTCACACAGTGTGGAATTTAACCTCTCCACAGATCTAACCTGTAACTTAGCCTTGTGTACCCCACTTGTCTCCATGAAGATAGATATGCTTAATGCCATAATGTGGATCATTCTATGCAAATAGACAAGAGGCAGGTATCTAACCCTCAACCAGAAGAATCACATATGCACGTCTAACCCACAGTAAAAATATTAATTTCTAAGAGTTTTGGTGCTGCTTTACCTGCATCTAAATATCCTATTCTAATCGTTGTGGTGGAGGTTTGACTCTTGTGGGAACCAGACAGGAATTTAAAGGGACAGAGACACTTCCTCCTTTTCACTGCCAAAACCTTCAATTAAGCAGCGTTCAAAGACCGCTCTCATCAAACACATTCAGAGCAGCATTCAGAGCCGCCCTGAGTGTGGGCCAAAGAACAGTCCATCCTTTTCATTCACAAATCCACACACTGAATACAGACTTCAACATCAACTGGACCGGTTTTGAGATATAAGGTGCTTAATTGGGGTAATCTAGGTTTTATTTCAAATATCAAACACAGTCCCAATAATTTCAACAATGTTTATAAATGTAAAAGCTTTGTTTTCCTTTTAAAAGTCTTTCGCAATTCAGATTTAGACTAGGAATGACAAGATGATTGAATTATGGGAGTTGTTGATCATGATTATTCAGGTCACAGTATAATAACGGAAAATTTGATAATTTTAATTCAGTAAATGTAAAATGTCTTTTTTGTTTGTGTATTTCTTTGTTTGTTTGTTTGTTTTTTAAAATCTGGCTGTTAGTTCACCTTTGAGTAAGGAAGTGACATTATGTCACTTTCCTGGTAGAGGGTCCACTCACCCCCTTGTGATGGAGATGATTAAATTTATCTATCTTGCATTTATTACATTACAGGCAGTTAAAATGCCCAAAATACACAGAAAAACATGCATTATTATCGTGAGTAGGCTTGTCTCTCCATGTTTTCTTTGTCTTTATTGATTATAAATAATTGTTATTGTGATGTATAATTATACTAACACTAAAGTTTGATTTGGCAAAACCCTGATTTAGATAAAATATTATTCATGTCAGTGGAAAATGGGACTGTATGAACCAAGAATTAGGTTTTCTATTTTCCAAACTGATTTGGTAAGGAATACAATGGTGGCATCATGGTGATAAAATATTTAGCACTATCCACAACCAGGCCACAGTGTGCAGTTTGTTTTCTCTCCTTAGAACAATACAGAAAACCATAGCTGCAACTAAAATTATAATTGTGATTTATAATGCACTGTGCAGCTGACTGCGTTGACCCCAGATTAAACAAACAAAACATTAAAAACCTCTTCCCCTTCAAATGTTATTACTCAAAAGACCACACCAGCAGTTCACTTTATGGTAAAATCCTGAGCTCAAGGCCAAACAGTCTGTGAGCGGGAATGACTTGAAACACATGGGACAATGAGAAACACCACTTCACATATTGGTGCACTCTGCTGTTCCTTCCTGCCACTGTTTTCATTTATTTGGCCTATCTCCACATCTCTGACTCTCTGCCTTCGGACAAACACATATTGTTCTAGTACAAACGAGCTGACCAAAGCAAGTGAATACAACATTACCCAGTAGCCTTTTCCGTGCTTTTTGTGGACAAATATGGCCATGCATTTGGTTATTTTATATGTCTATTACACAAAATTGAATCTTCTGAGTTTTAAGCCATTTTTAAAATGCTGTTACCTCATCAAAAACATACCCAGAGTTGTCACACGTTTGAGTAACACTTCATTATTAGTCATCTCCAAAGCTCAAAATGCTCTGTTCCACCTTATGATGTCACATTTGACAGCTACCCTTTATCTTTTGTTCTGTAGAAATGGGCAGTTCCAGGGCTGGAATTATCCAAATGATTCTAGTGAAGGTGTATGGAGTATAAATACACAGTGGAGCACTTCCTGTATTACAATATGACATCACAAGGTGGAAGTGAGAGTTTTCATTATGAGAGAAGAAATCACTTTGCAGGACTTGTGTGTGAATGAAACAAAACAGAACTTTGGATGTTTTTGATGAGGACACAATATTATAATTGAAAAGACCATAATATGGGCCCCGTAAATGATGCGAAGCATGTTTTAACTCTCAAGAGACATGATTTAGATAAAGTATGTAAAATTTTTTTCAAATAAATAAAATGTTGAAATCTCCCCCATAAAAAGGCAAGGCCATTTACTTTCCATGTTTTATAGACTTTATAATAATATAACAATATCTATATGAGTACTATGTAAATGGGTCTATTGCAAATGTGAACTGAGCCATGTTCAAGTTTGATATGAGAGAGACAGAGAGAGAGATAGAGAGTGGGAGAGAGAGAGAGAGAGAGAGAGAGAGAGAGAGAGAGAGAGAGAGAGAGAGAGAGAGAGAGAGAGAGAGAGAGAGAGAGAGAGAGAGAGAGAGTGGGAGAGAGATAGAGAGAGAGAGAGAGAGAGAGTGGGAGAGAGAGAGAGA